GTTTTTAAATATTTAATCATTTATAAACGTATACCAGGATCTATGTTTAAAATTTTGAAAAAAAAATAATAATGGGCGAATCATTCAATAGAGAAAATTGGTGTCGTAGAATGCATAAACAATTCTCACTGTTTCATTTTTGGAATATTATCTTTAATTAATTGGTTTAGTTGTATTTTCTCTTCAACTTTTAAAGTGTCGTACAAACAAGGTACTGAAGTAGAATAAGTTATCTGATGACGATTTCCGGCGTCGTGCAATTTTCAGATCTACGCAGAGTTTATAAATACCTAGTAAATTTGAACATTTATTGCGGATTATGAATTGTTTTATAAAAGTTTAATACAAAACTCCATTATGAACGAGATGACTTTCTTTTTCCATCGTTAACGTTCCTTGTAACATTTCTTTTGCTTATAGAGTTCACGTTTCCCAGCTTGTTTGATATTCTGTGGCAAATTCTGATTGGAATCTGTTTTCAACGGAGGCAGGTTAATGAAAATTACATTGTAGTTGTTGTTTAAAAAAAATGTTTACAACCTCGTTAAAGTTGGGCATTTCGTAAATTATATTTCGTTATAGTGACTTTTAACAAATATTACATATCTATGGTGGCCTATCTATGCCATCCACATATTTTTTGTTAACATATAGCGTATCATTCCATGTCAATATAACTATCTCATCAAGTCATCAAGTCAAGATAACTTTCTGTCTGTCAACAGACAACGACTTTATATCTTCTTGTCTAGTAAAGATAAGCCATCGCTTTGTTTTGATACCTATCTTGATACCTATCTTGACAGAACGAATTAACTGATTTTGCGACATCAATAAATTAGGTATCATATATAACATATTGTAATATTATTGATGACATTATGTTTTGTGCATGCATATGTAATTTTCCATTCCTGTGGTTAAAATATAATAATTGTAGTATATTTTTATGTATATCTCAGGTTTCGGAGTATGGAGGTTATGTAATGTATTGTCTGGGGCTTTGGGGTTTTGCGTTGATTATGCGTTAGCTATCGTCGAAGATATCACGCGTACACGCCATTTTTGTAAGAAAAACATACTCTCCGCCACCCCGTACAACCATCCCTCAGATTAAACTTTACTTTGGGATACATTTGATAACTTTATTTGTTTCATGGCCTTTTGTTTGTTTCAACCTTATTTTTCAGCTGTTTGATATATTTGTGTTTTTTGAGCATTGTCATGATGTTATTTAAATTTTTGGGAGATACATAACAAGGTATAGATATAAATTGTAGAAAGTCATAGGATCTCCCAATTCATGTTTTATTCATGTCATCAATAAATGACATATTCACAAATGTCATTGTCAAATGGAAGGCATAAATGATATCGTATCTTGACTAGACATGATAAAAACGTGATGTTTGTCGTCAAACAAAGAGTTATGTGGATGGCACATATATGCCACCATACCTATCAGTGGGCGATGTTTTGTCTGATGTTTTTCACATCTATTGTAAGACCTTTCTGTTTATAGTATCAAAATTCCCTCCACGTGACCAATACTAAGGGATAACAGCGGGTGTGGTGGGTCACCAAGGGATGCTCCCTTCTCCTGGGCGTCTGATCCCATCTTTTTATCTTTCAGTCGTTTGTGTATAATGCCTTATTCATAGATCGTCTTTAGGCCTTCTAATTCACCTTTATATTTAACACATATACTAAGTTTTGATAAGTTATTTGTCAGTGAAGAAATGGTAAATAAATTAACTGACCGACAGTATAGGAGCTTTTATTTCATATTTGTAAAAAAATAAATAAATAAAAATATCAGCTTAAAAATCATAGCAAAATATTTTTATGTAGATATAACAATTTAAACAAAAACAGAAATCGGAAGAGAAAATTGACATATAAATGAGCAATAAAAATATATATAAGGCATCTTATAGAAAAGTATTCAAAAATACGCTAAATCAAGTGTATTTTTGATTTTACTCATTGCACGTGCACGTACGTCTTATATACGCACGAAATATATACATGTAAATGTTAAGATTGAACGAAAACAAACCCTAAAATTTGAAATATTAATCAAAACAAACAATTAAAAGTAGTGGATTAAAATAAAACACATGCAGCTTTATAATGACACACAACAATTCAGACATTCTTGATTTCCTCTATAAGATAGTTATCTTTGGTCTTATCAAAAACATAATGAAAAATATTCCATATAATTAGTTAATAAATTAATTTACTTTTACAGATAAAATCGTCGTATAAGTATATTTTTAACTTCAATAGTTGAATTTAATTGGATTAAGGTATCGGTCTAGTTCTCTTCCTCTGACTTTGAGTACGTGGATATTTTAACTCCCTTCCCCGCAGTCACGCATTTTAACGCATATACCATTTCCTATTTCTAACGCAAAATCACGCATATACCGTTTCCCCGCAATCATGCATTTTCACGCACTTTAAAAAGTTCATTTAATCTTTAATTTAATGCAAAATTCCTTCTATTTTATGCTTCCAAAAATCTCAGAAAATAAGAAAAGTTATTTTTGTATTAAAATATATCGTTAGAATATTATTTACGCTAAACTTTAGAGAAACGTGTACCACGCTAAAAGGTGCTTGCGGGGAAATGGTAAATTTCTATTTCTATGACGTAGACGTTAAGTGTATTTTGCATAACAGTTCAGTAAGTTGTAAAATCATTTTTGAATTTTTTAAGAAAATTAAATTTGATGGTGAACAAAGACGTTGATAAAACTTAAACTATGAAAAAATATTTAATAAGGACAACAGAGTGTCTCAGGACAAGAAGTACACTATCACACAAACATCATCACATGTCTACTTTTAACAGGTTGGGTCCAATAGCCCAGATAGGATATAATAGCTCATGTGGGATATATACACGTGATATCCAGATTGGATATACAATTACAAATTACATATTTTTATTTACTTGTTTGCATTGCATGCACTTTGTCAAGAATCAGCCCTATAACATTTTTCATGTTCACTGAATATAGTTCTTTTTATTGTCAATAACAAAATGTCTACCATAATAGTAAGAGATTCTTGTTTTGTTAAATTCTTCCTTATTTTCAATTGCTATAAAAGTTGTTTTCCAAATATCTATTTAGTATAGGTATTTTTTTTTTACTCTTCGGCCTTGTTTCAACACTCTCTCTTTATCTTTACAAATGATCACTACTTCAAATCTTTAAGTGGGTTTCCATCGATGTTCTCACGTTTCTCCCTTTATCTTTATACACAAAATATTTTTAGATATATATTTTTATTATATTTTCACATTTCCAACATCTATATTTCCTTAGTTTTGAAAAGAATGTACGAGAGGTGTTAGAAAACGTGGGAAAGATCGCAGACAAGTTCTATTGTGAGCGCTCTATTTCCCGGAAACCGATCAAACTTTCAGATAAAATCTTAACCTTATTTCAATAAATATACAGAAATTTGGTGCTCTCCTGTGATCATTTACGAATTTACAGCTGTTTTATTTTGATAAAATTTGCTTCACGGAGCATGCTATATTTTGGCACGTTTACACCACAAAGCCTCTTTATTAAAATTAAAATTGGCACAATTGTAGCTCAAAGAAATTTGTAATATTTATCCTGTCGCTAAAGTAATCATGAAACATCACTGGGAGAAATTTTGAATTAACTTGGAGGGTATATGACTGTTTTATAAGCCATTTATAAAGGATCAAAGCGTAAAACAGCCAAAAATCAGAACGTCATTGAGTGTCACGGAGCATTGCACTACATAAAAATTATGTGTGCAGACAGGAAAATGTCTGAAAAAAGATTAAAATGTACAAGATGCTGCCGGGAATGTCCTATACATACAAAGTATAAAAGTTTTCAAATGGTGTAGCTTTATAAGAATGTAAAGATTAACATTCTGAATGGTTAACTCCATCGATACTTCAATACCCTCTAATTGCATGAACATTGTGCCTGTTTGGTTTTGCGTACCGGTAGTTTTCATTTCTCATCGAATATAACCTTTTTAAAGATCTCAATATTATCCGAATCAGTACAATTCGAATTCGTAAAAAGACATTATAGTAGAACTTGTCTTGATATGGATATTCAATTTAGAGTAGAAAAAAGATAAGAAAAATCCGAAAAAATGAAAGATTTAACAGGTAGAAATATTGTTGTCACGCACTGGGTGAAAAAAGTGGTTTCCCATCATGGGAAACTTTATGGAAACCACATGGAAACCTCAAGTTTACATCATGTTTCCCAGTGGTTTCCGCAGCGGATGCCAGGTTATTCCGCCAAGTTTCCGTGACACGGAAACCCCCTACGCTCCGATTCCATAAGGTATCCCGAACCATGGAAACCTCTGTAAACCTGAAGTTTCCCGAACATCCATGTAATTTCCCGTAATGGGAAACCTAAAGATTCCACTGGTTTCCAGAATCAGGAAACTTGATGGAATCGGAGCGTAGGGGGTTTCCGTGGAATGGAAACTTGGTGGAATCTTGAGGTTTCCTTTTACGGGAAACTACATGGAATCTCGGGAAACCTCACCATTCCTATAGTTTCCGTGACTCAGGAAATCATATGGAATCGGAGCGTAGTGGTTTCCGTGGGATGGAAACTTGGTGGAATCTTAACATTTCCTTTTTAAGGAAACTACATGGAAGCTTGGGAAACCTCATGATTCCTAAAGTTTCCATGACTCAGGAAACCACAGGGAATCGGAGTGTACTGGTTTCCGTGGAATGGAAACTTGATGGAATCTTAAGGTTTCCGTGGAATGGAAACTTGATGGAATCTTAAGGTTTCCTATTACAGGAAACTACATGGAACCTCGTGAAACCTTACGATTCCTAAAGTTTCCTTGACTCAGGAAACTATATGGAACTTGTGTAGCAGTTTCTGTGTGGCGGAAACTTGGTGGAATTATCTGGAGTCCCATTCCTGGTTGAAGTTACTGGTAAACTTCAAGATTCCCCAACTTTTCTTAAGGAAGCGATGTGAAATTATGTGTATTCTTTCAAAAATCTATCAAAAAAATTATTAAATGTAAGAGAAAAAAAGCATTACCATTTTATATGTTTAATAATTCATTTGATGTACAAAAACTGTAACAGTATTTTTCAATGATATCAAAATACTAAATAAATTCATATATCTTAGATAAACAATGGAACAGTCTTTCACATTTAAGTCCATTCATAAGCGTCATTAAGTACTTCTTTCAACATCAGTTCCCTGGTATTTCCTTCACATCACCTATGATCTGCAATATTCATACAAAATTATCATATGATGTGTCAGAATTATAATGCTTGAATATAACTTAGAAATCTGAAAGATCAGTCAATGTTCTTTAATATACCAATATCAATAATTACTTTCCATGACCATTAAAATTTAATGCTTTATGAAATGGAAAATTTTTTTACATAATATAATGTTTTCAGCCTCATTATGTCATTGAGAATATATTACAATTTCATAGAACCCTGCTTTAAGTTGAATTAGTTTGAGAGAAAATATACTCTTTATAATAACAAAAATATTAATAGAGAGAGAATTTTTTTAATTTTTGATATTTGACCTAAAAAATTGGTTGAAGATCATTGCAGACCCTCCACACCAATTGCATAAAAGCTAGATTACACCCAGGGAGAAATATACTCTGGACTACGACTTTGAATAAAGATATACAGTACATTTTGATACTGACCTTTGACCTAGAAAATTAGTCCAAGGTCACTCTTCATCCTCTATCCACAGGCTCTCTGTAGTTTAAGTTTGAGAGAGAAATATGCTCAGAGCAAGTGATATCAGATGGCGTGATGGGTAGACACACTGTCTAAGGGCATCCACAGAACAGGTCTCTAAAAACAATGCAATATATATGTATTACAGTATGGATATACTTGTACTTGTATGTTAATGATTTATCATATGCTGCATTGGACACATATGCTTTTATCATGGTGTAAGTATACATGTATCTTATGAGTAATTTTATGCCAGTATTGCATGTACACTCGGTTTATAAACAAGTAATTTAAATTTTTTTTTTACAAAAATTGACCAACATTATTTACATCCACTCATCATGTTCATGAATTGGTGGATCAAAATTCAGTCAGTTTTAGATCTCTATGATATACCATAGACAACTTTCACATTTACAAAAGTTATTCCCCTTTGCAGGGTCAATCTGGGGTCAATCGGCTTAAGACACTGTTTTCCCTCTATATAACCGTACCAACTTTGAGGGTCAATATCTTGGAAGTGAAATCTGTATGAACATGTTCATTATGATTTTCATGTTACCCCATACTCCGGCCATACAGATACAGATCGTAATTGTCCAATATCATTTAAAGATTGAAAAAATACAAGTAACTTACAAGTAACTTACAAAGGACAAAGTGAGAAAAATGAGAGATACACTGACAATTGGAGACAACTCTTAGCAATGTGAAATTTGTCTATTGGTGATGACAATTCCTGTTTTAATGTCACTAAAAAATTAAGAGACATTAAAAATTTAAGCTCTATTGTCATGCATGCATGCTGTTTTTTTAAGTATTTTCAACCAAACTATAAATTACAATTGCTTGTAATTGAAAGATGGATCCATTACACATTGCACCCCATTACTTTGAAAAAAATGTAATGATTACAATGCATTACCATTAGTGGGCATTACACATTACCATTACCCAAGGTCTGTTTTCAACCACATAACCTTTTACTATCATAAAATTTACCAAAATTTAATACTTCAAATAATTTCATTGAATACATGTATCTAAAAAATTGAGGAAACTCTGAAAACTTAGTGTCAGACTTACAGAAATTAATCTTTGGAGAGAAAAAAATCTATCATATAAAGATGTGCATAATGAGCCTTTTTTATTCATTTAGAACATATCGTATGTGCATCATTTCCCCAAGAAATTTTCAAAGACAATGGACTATTTGTGAGCAGAAATCATTGCTGTTTACTTAATACATTTGGAAAATTTATGAAAATAATCAAATAATTTCTTTATTTTTGATTTTAGATAATGCTAAAAATAATTTAATCTCTTACAAGTAATCCAACTGACTGTAAAATAAAATTTTTTTTAATCTCAATCTAAGGGCAGATCACTCTAACTGCATAAAACTACCCAATATCAAAGTAGAGCTCTTTAGTGTGCAGTTTTTAAAGCTTCCTTAAAGTCATCAAAATACTGACCAGCAAGAAATCAGTTAATAACATTTCCTCTTTTTCATTCAAATTTTATGAGAGATCTCAAAGTTTTTTCCTCTTCAATTCAGGTTCGAGATGACAAAGTTTTACTGTAGTGTATGTATTTATTTAGAGAACTGATTGTATGACATAACATGGAGGGGGGCAAATTGTTTCAGCCCTAGCTTTTACATAAAACTTCTTGTAGCTCACAGCTGATAAACCACAGCTCAGTATTTAAAATTTAGAATCTTTTTTTTTCAGGCAATTGTTATACATACCAATCATGATTTAATTACCACTAACCAAATGACCACATCCTGAATCATCATACATTTTATATGATTTTATCTCACTGGTTTTCTTTTAAAGTCATGCAGTTTTCTTCTCTCTGAAATGATAAATTATGTTAAGGTACTATAGACCCTTTTCCTATGACATATTTTGTCTAGGAGTTATTCCCCTTAGCCACCATATTGTAGGGCAACATATCCAGATCCCTTCATTATTCAACCAAATTCAATTTGTTATACTGGTTAATGAGGTAAAGATAACACTATTTTTCTTATGAATATACATTTGTCAAGGCTTCTATTAAATCATAATTTTAAAATTGTAAATATTTTCCCACATATATTTCTTGTATTCATATTTAAAATTAGTTGCTCAAATAGGTAAATTCACTACTTTGCCATACAAGATGGCGGCTAAGGGGAATAACTCCTGTGCAAAATATGTCATAGGAAAAGGGTCTATTGCATTCTAATTTAAACTAATTATGTAATAGCATTAGCAACAACAGGGATGGGCAAAAAAAACAAAACAAGATGCGCTTGTAAAACACTATGTGCCCGGCGGCAACAAAGTTTCGAAAAAGCAATTTTTTTAGCATATAGGTCACAGTCAAGATCACATAATCATTGTCCTTGTTGTCACGTGAAAGCACTTCATAAGTGGAGTATGCATACTAAATATGATGTCACTATCTCATATAGTTCTAAAGTTATGGTGAAGGTTTAAGTTGACAACAGACAGACACTGAGATAAACAGTTATGACAAAAGTTCGAAAAAGCTATTATAACATATAATTACAGTCAAAGTCACAAGGTCATTGACCTTGTTGCATTTCAAAGAACATAATTATCATAGTATGCATACCAAATATGAAGTCTCTATCTCTCACAGTTCAAAAGTCATGGCAATGGTTCAAGTTGACAACAGACAGAAAGGACAAAATCAATACACGTGCCGAATCTATCAATTCAGGTGTATAAAAATTTCAAACAAATGAGCATCAACTAGTTTGTACCATTCTACTTCTCCTATGTCAGGACAACCATCACTAATTCACTATTTCATACAAGTCTTTTTTTCAAAATATTTAATCTAATGCAATAGCTCACCAGCAGAATATGATATTGTGCTCAACTCATTGTTTGCCTGCACCACAGTTATGTAGAATGTGGCGTATGTTATAAACTTATAATTATGTTCAGATATAAGAAGCATGTTATTTTTTATGACAGCTAAGTCTGTTCAGTTAGACAATACCATGTACACTGTACATGTATGTAAGTAGTTTAATTGTGCTTGATTATTTACTTATTTTCTTCTCAACTTAAAGCTGAACACAACTCGTAAATAGGCATACACCATTTTTGATAGCATTATCTACGATACATCAATACTAGGGTATACTCGTTGCAATCGTTACACCTGACTGCTTTATTGTCACGGGTATTGGCGTGGAATAGCAAACCGTGATCGTGCTGGTTATCTTGCATTACCTTTTTTTTACATTTTATTGCAGTTACGTTTATCTGTGTTTTTTGTATATTTTACTGACTTATAAAACTATAATTGTTATAAACTTATTTGTTATCTTATTTTCCTGCATTAGATGAAGTATTACGTTATTACTCTCGCTACCGAGTTCTTCTGTAGAGCATACGTCCGTCTTCACCAGTCTAGACTGATTACACTGAACAGTGACCAACTGCTGCCCTATTTATAGCAGTCTGCAGAGAAGATAGACTCGGGAACAAAAATGGCGGACAGATTCCTTTTACGAATCGTATTCAGCTTTAAAGTGTTCTGTATTTTATTACCAAGTTTGTAATAAGCATTTTGAAACATACTATCAATATTAATTCACTATGAAGGCTTAATTTTCTTTTTTTTACATCTTCATCTCAGCAGGTTAGACAGTACAAAAAAAAAATATCCTTCATGATAATCGGATAAGCTGAGATTGAAGACACTTTTTGTAAAAATATTGATGCTTTTATCAAGGTTTTGAACCAAAAGTATTTCATTCATACCTTGCCATAAGTCATAAGTTCCAAAAATCAAAAGAGTTGGCTATCCGAAAACGGAAAGTCAGAAGTATTCAAACCGGATGTACTACAGTCTGAATTTAACTACGAAACCATGCTCGGTATAACTATTATTATCCGGATAATTTGAGCGGGGTTAAAAATATATTTTTGTTTAAATCCGAAAAGTATTCATTTATATTTAGAGAGAGAACATACATATTGAGCATATTTTAATAAACATGGTGAAAGGCGAAACGTTGCCATTTTACAACATACGGTGCCTTGGGACCTCTATAATCTATTTGTTATATTGTATCACTGTCTCAAATATCTCTCTCTCTCTCTCTCTCTCTCTCTCTCTCTCTCTCTCTCTCTCTCTCTCTCTCTCTCTCTCTCTCTCTCTCTTGCAACATATGCACTTAACAATTTAAAACTTAGATATCCAACTTTTTAAAATGGCGTCAGAACAAAAGTTGCCTCCGATAGTGAAGATTTGTTGTTGCCAAATATTACAATTATTTGCCGTAAAAAGTTAACAAAAATATACGTACATTAATCCTTGGTCCTTGGTCATTGCATTTATCACAGTCTTAAAGATACTGGGTGGTGAAAACATCAACTGTTCACATTTACGAGCTGCTTACACCTTCTTCTTCGTCCTTCTCGATCCTCCAAAAATGGCGCCTCGGGAAATTGACCAATGAAATAAAGCGCCTGCAGAGCGATGCAGGATGGGAAAATAAACTGTTTACATTCACTATGATTATGTGTGATTATGAGATTTTATATAATAGAATTTAGAAGTTTTCCCCTGTTCATGGAATAAAAAAAAGGGGCTCCTATTAAAATATTTTTTGTCGATATGATGTGTAGGCCTAGTATATTTAGATAAAAAGCGGTTAAATACGTGAGAGCAGAGAAAAATTATGTTTCTTGCGTGACCCCTCAACTTATTTGTCTTCGGGATGAGGGGTTCGGGGCTTGGTTGTTGGTAGTGGCCGTCCTAGCTGAAAGTACCCCCCCCCCCCGCTACTTTTAACTGTTATAATTATGAATTTATAATGTCACATCAAAAGATGTTAAACCTTTAAAAGTACATTTTTTTTTTATTGCGAACGTTCCACAGGAATCCTTAAAGGCATGAAAATGAGTTACAATTATAATACATGTATAATTAACAATAACCGTCCTTATTTTTTTTTTATTTTAATATAGTGATGATTGAAAAGTTCGGTGTTTAATAATTAATTGCTTATAATTTTTGGGGGGATTAATATACTACTAGAACTCCCTCCTTTTCTGGTTTTAATTAGATTTTGAGCCTGCTATCAATATATTGTACAGTCGCACCTGCTGTTACCATGGTTACGGCCACCCTTAATCAGCGGCCACTCGTCATGAACGGCCAGTTTCAATCCCGCCTGTTCATTTTTTCACTATATTTTAACTCATTTAAGCGGCCACCTGTCTAACGTGGCCAGTGGCCAGTGTTTTTAGGTCCCATGCGCTCAACATGCCTGTTTTAAGCGGCCATTTTGTCTGTTTAGTCACATGACTTCCGTCTGGCCACATGACCTTGTATCCTCGAGAAGCCAAACATGAACAGCTGATAATGAGTAATTACTGATAATTGCGGGTGTAATTTGAATTCATTCAAGATTTAATGATTTAATTAATATGATTAAATAATTTACTTTTTACAAATTTTTTTTTCTTTTTTGTTCTTTATATACGAAAGTAAGTTGTTACACAGCTGTTGATTACGGTTATCAATACATTAAAATATACTACAATTTCGCCCGAGGTTATCAAGCCAAGTGGCCAGTCTCGGGTTATAGCCCTACTATGCTATATAATATATATTCAGAAAAACTAAAAAGCTTTACACAGCATCAGGAAATTTTGTTGAGACATTTCATGATTTCGTGTGATGTAAATTCTATTGCTGTGAAACTTTTAAAATTACCATCACAAAACAACAATAAAAAACAATTTTAATAGATTTCTTTCCTAAATTCATGTAAAATGAACTGTAACAAAAGGGATCTCTTGTGACTTTAAGCTTCCTAATTTTTTATGTGTTGAAATTGTGGATTTGGATACGTTTGAAAGTAAATTAATATACAATTGTGATCGCAATTTTTTATTCCTTGGTTTGAAACCTGGAATAAGTGGCCACCTGTCTTATGTGGCCAATTTGTCATTCTCCCACAAGTGGCCTCTTAAAACAGGTTTGACTGTATTATTACTGGTGGACCTTCTAGACGTTTCTCTATTTGCTACATGTAGGCTAAATTGTACTTGAAACTTCTTTGCCTTTATAGCTAATAACTTTCCCACATCATTTTAACACATAAAATTGTTAAATGAATTAGGATGTTGAAAATCTTTTCTTAGGAGAGTTACATGTATCTCAAGATGGAATAAAACTTACATCTAATCAAAGGCAAGAAAATATAATAGTATTTTTAATTCAGTATTTAGTCGTGATGGGTATAAGCGAGGTCATGGGAAAAATTATGTCAAAAGTCATCTAGATACTCGTTGATGTACAGGGCTGTACTTATGCATATACAGCTTTAGCTGGTCCCGCCCTGTATTTCTTTTAATGTTTTTTTTTTTCGTTAAGAAATCTGGTAAGGTATGCTAGTAAAAAAAAATCCCGGTAAGTTTATTTACTTTCCTACAGGCCTGAAGTTCGAGTCTATTAGTCAAATTTAAGAATGTCACGCATCTTTTTTAAAAAGAGTAGCATGTCGGGGAATAAAAATAAAGTAATGTGCAATTTAGATAAAGAAAATTAATGTTTGTTGAAGTATTGACAAACTTCATACCTTTATATAATGAAATCAACAAAAACTGCACAAAAATACAATCGTGATAATTATACAATTGATTGCCTCAAGTTAACATCCACTACTTTAAAGCCGTTGTTCTTCAGGAAAACAAAATGATGCAAAATATTATAGACTTTTCTTTATCTAGAGAAATGGCCTTTGGAGAAAAGAATGGCTGAAATTTTTAAAGTTTGTTAAATATATGTGCATGATCATATGTGCATTTAGGACCCTACATTGTAATGTTATGCGAAAAGTGCAGACGTTTACTACATGGGGATCTGCGCACATATAAACAAAAAAGGAAAAAAAAAGTTTTATGTAATGAATATTATAACATTATTTAATAAATGCCTTTGTATAGTACGTTGGATTACAAATTTCACACAAAAACTCATCAAGACTATTAAATACAGTGTTGATTTCACATTGATCTATTAAGTAATTCTGATTTAATATAATTATACACGACGAGAATTTAGATCTAATCAATACCTATAGAAAATTATTTAATTTCTAAAGAGCATAGTTTTTTCAAATCAGTAATGAAAATTGGAATAAAAATTCTAAATAGTTCGTTCTTTCATTGAACATCTTAAAATAAATGTATGTTATTTTATAAATATGTTCTCTTGTATAACTTTATTTATGAAATATACAATTTTTTAATTGATAAAAAAACACAAATCGTCATCTTAATTCAAACGAATTTTCGGTCGGAGGCTGTGTGTGTACATGCTCGACAACAGCCCATTGTTCCCTTTAGGTAGAAAACCGTCTCAATTCACATAGAATATACAAAAAATACACAGTGACAGGTGTCTTCGCGGCACGTGTCTCCACCTGATATGGCACGTGAGGACAGGTGCCCGTAGTTATTACACAGGCCGACTATAGTGATTTTTTCAAGTGTGGTTTTATTATTTTTTTTTTTGAAGGGGGGGGGGGTCTTCTCTAGGAAAAAATGAAAAGCAATCCACCCGACCCCAATAATAATAATAATTTATTAAATTAAAAAAAAAACAATCTTACTAAAGTAAAATACTAGTATGATAATACTCAGCCCCCAACCAATTCGATGGATTTTATCTGACCAGTTTACATTGATCTCTATGTAACCATACTTACTCTTCTATATTTTGTTTTTTTTAAAGGTCAGATGATACGTTTCCCACTAAGTATCTGTTTTGTGAATCTTCATATTAATGTATAATAAATTTGTATAAAAATCTTTATTACTTTCTAAACTGGTTTTTAATAATTTGAAACACTAAAAATGTAATTGTGACAAACCAACTGAAGAATTTTTTCCTGAAGGATTACCCCGGTATATAAGAGATGCCAACCTCTGGTATCTCACACAAAATGCCTTGTAAGGTACCTTGAGTTTTTGTGAATACATGTTATAATGTAAAAAAAGTAAGTCTTCAATGTCAAAATATTGGAAAAAATTATAATTATATTATTGAGGAAAGTCTCATCTGTCCTTAATCACTACATTTTATATAATTGCAACTTGACATATTTCTTTATTTACTTTTTTATCGATCTTTTTACCTTTTCTGTAAATAATATCATTAAAGGTGCCCTTCGCTCTTGCATTTTTTTCAAAGGAACATTCAACATAGACAGCTTACAAGAAAGTGGGATCGGAAATGATTGATATCTACATAACTGCAATTAATTTTCTCTATTCCATTTCATGCATTCTATACGAGTTTACCAAAACTTATTTGATAAATTTTTAATATTAAATTGCGTTCACGGTGCTGAAATATTAAATTTTATCACGCAGAAATACACATCTAGTTATTTTAACTGTTTGAAGGGAAGTTAATTATTTTGATACAGCATGTAAACACTTTTGAAATATTTCTATAATTGGTAAGCATATGGTAACATCAGAAAATATTTAACTTTTTGTAAAATAAAAAGTAGGTGGGTTAGCATTGAGATATACTTTCAAAGTTTCTCTACCTGGGAAACATGGGGGAAACTACACATTGGTGGCTTCCATGTCGGGAATCTATATGGAAACCACTGAGGCATGTTTCCATGATTTCCTATCTTGGGAAACTAACGGGAAACCACAGGTTGGTTGTTTCCATGTCGGGAATCTACATGGAAACCACCAGGGCATGTTTCCATGGTTTCCTATCTTGGGAAACTAACGGGAAACCACAGGTTGGTTGTTTCCATGTCGGGAATCTACATGGAAACCACCAGGGCATGTTTCCATGGTTTCCTATCTTGGGAAACTAACGGGAAACCACAGGTTGGTTGTTTCCATGTCGGGAATCTACATGGAAACCACCAGGGCATGTTTCCATGGTTTCCTATCTTGGGAAACTTACGGGAAACCACAGGTTGATTGTTTCCATGTCGGGAATCTATGTGGAAACCACTATGTGGTTTCCATAAAATGGAAACTATATGGAAACTACTGATGTCACGATTCCCATATGTTTCCATCGGGTTTCCAAATTTGGGAAACCTGGCTTTTCATCCTGTGTCACGTCGCCTTACGTCATGTGATTGCTCTGTGAATCCCATAACCTCGTAGTAACAATTATTGTAAATTTTCAAGATTTTAGTAAAAGAACCTGATTTTTTACATACTTATAAACAAAATGTAGGGATTTGTTCAGACATAGGTCATACTTCACAGAACACAATAGATTTTCCCAAATTGAATGTGTCCCCGAACTTTTCTAACAACCCTCGTATCTTAAGAAGTACAAGCAAAAACTCATCAATTCAATATTTCTAAAATAAACTTCATTCAATTGTTGAGTGAGTAGTCGACGCAATAATTGCTATTATTACTGGTTGTAGTAAACGTTTTCAGATGTAGTCCCAATGTAGTCACATACAGTTCTGTAGATCAACAGGTATTCGTCCTTAAAGTAAGTAAAAGAATGATTTATATAAACTTCATGAAACTACATTAATGATATACATTTTTACTGATTCATTATATGGACCTTCATAAAACAAAAGTTTAAAAACAAGATTACAAAATTTTTCGGAAAAATTTTCCTAGCAGGGATAAGCTCACAGGACTAACGTTTGGAGATTTATGCATTGGATATTCAATAAATTTATAAATTATTTTCTTGAGGATTACACTTAGTTCGAAATTAGCTTTCTAAACAAGTAGTAGTTCATTTGACTAACTCAGAGGACTAGCTTCATTCGCAGCGATTATGTGAATTTAAATTTAATCTAATTTATTTGAGAGATTTGGTGTAAAATAGTTCCTTTGAATGCAATTTCTTGGATAAATCAAGTGGCACATTGGCCACACCGCTCACCTTAATAACTTTTGAAATGCCGTTTTTATCCGAATACCCCTTGTTATACCTTTTGTGGCCACATCCTCCTCCTCCTCCCAGGGGGTCATGATTATAACAATTTAGAATCAAAGCTACCCTAGGATGCTTTTGCATAGGTTTCAGCTTTTCTGGCCAAGTGGTTTTTGATAAGAAGATTTTAAAAGATTTTTCCTATATATTTCTCTGTAAAACTGTCCTTGTCCTACCTTCGGGGTCCTGATTTTAATAATTGAGAATTTTCACTATCCTTGATGTTTCCACATAAGTTCTGGGCCATTGGTTCAACACAAGAAAAAAATTTCATAACCCGACCCGATTTTTTCGTCATCATATTCTCTTGTTAGTGACCCTTTGTTTTCATAATTTAAACTCCCAATTACCTAAAAATGCTTCGTTTCAAGTTTGGTTAAAATTGGACAAGTGGTTTTAGAGAAGAAGTTCAAAATACAAAAAGTTAACAAACGAAAGGACTGACATACGGATGACTGACAACGGGTGATCAGAAAATCTCACTTGAGCTTTTAGCTCAAGTGAGATAAGAACAAAAGCACTCAGTTCCTTACCTGTGTTGAACAGAATTCTGGTCTCCTTTTCTGTAAAAGTCGGACAGCAGTAAATACGTCAACATTTTCATCCAAAGTGAGCTGTTGTATCAAGTTATATACAGAACAAAAAACACCACACAATGTTGCTCCGTCTCTGTAAGGAAAAAAAATACCTTTATATCATTTGAATAATATTTAAAATTATAGAAATTAATGTAAAAGTACATAACACTACAGACTTCCACTCACATGCAATTATATATTGTGTCGGAATTGATATGCTTATAAGTGTGGGAAGGGTCATGAATCATACTACCTATCAGAAAACGGAGAACAGAATATATTTTTGATTGGATGCAAAAAGTTCTTTGGACTTTCGTATATTACTGATGTTTACTCTCTTGTACTCTGTTCTTATAGTTCGTCATTTTACTTTCTAATTTTCTTCCTTTCTTATGTTTTATTCATGATTCAGTTTTATTTTACACTTATCCATATATTGTCATTACCAAAAACTTTATACCTCTGAATTCTAAGAAGATATTGTGTTTAATAGAAAAAGTTGACCTACTTGCTGATAACTGTAATTGGTCTTTCTGAGGAAATATTCTGAGCATAAAAAATTAAGCTTCTGAGAGACGATGTGTCATGAGAGGTTCCGGATGTCTTCAGTGATCCTTTGGGCTCTACTATTGTTACAGTATGTGTTTCCTGTAAAGTGAAATATCCTAACAATTTTAACAAAGTACAAAGCAAAAACACGTTACGCAGATTTTATGCATTATTTGCTACATGTATCCAGTTTATCTCTTAGATTTAAATGTTATCAGTCTTCTTTATTCCCTCTTATTCCTTGCGGTATAATTAATAAATTATTTATCTATGACTGAAATACTGTAATTTGGGATCCATTTCAACCAAGTTCATCCCTCAAACTAAATGCATTTCTTCAGTATTAAATTTATTTGATTATCAATACAGTTGCGAAATATATTATAGGAAGTGTAAATATCGTTCCCGAAGGTGAATTATTAAGGGTGTTTTTATTTTAATTATAAGAACGATATTCTGAATATTGTACAGGGTGTAATGATAAAAAATATTCAGACCAGAAATTGTTGTCTAGTTTTCATATATCAAGAAAAATAAGAGAGTTTGAACTAAATTTTAGTAGTAAGATAAAAGACAGCTAAATCCATCCCCCCCCCCAAAAAAAAAGAAAATATATCAAGAAGAGATGAGAACAATATTGAAGTGAAATCAATAAATGAGAAAACCTCCTGAAAGTTAGATCTGAGTTTAGAAAAATGGATTGTAAAATGCCGCTTAGTGTATCAAGTGTATTCAGAAATCTTAAATTCGAGTTGTTTGTCTGCATACATGATTTCAGTATTTAAAGTCAGTTGACTTTTAAAGCAGGTTCAAGTTTTCAAGATTAATTGAAAGGAAGAGCGAAAGAAGTGGACACCAATTAACACACGCCGGTAGTTCTGAAACGACACAATTATTTTAATGGAACTTTGAATAAAAATATGTATTTTGAGGGTTCTAAAAAACAGATATAAATCAAGAAAAGTCTCAAATATCCTGTAAAACTTACAAAACAGTGGTAAGAAATTTCTAGGGATTAGACTCTCAAGTTATTTAGGATGTAATGTTGGGAAACTCTTGGAGAATAATATTTTAGGTTTTGTTGCCATAGTTACTTAAGTGGAGAATGTTGGGTTCTTATGACCCTAAAATATAATTTTCAATACATGCTGATTAAAATGATATATAAAATGTATACATGTATGTAGCTTTAGTAGTCATTTTTATATATCTGTCTTTAGATGTGTGATCTATATTATGAAACACCCTGTGCATATCTTTAGGGTGTGTATTATGTTAAATAAAATATGTCACTTAAAATGATCATTTTATCTATGTCACCATTAAACCAGAGTTTAGAATTATCTTTGTCACCTCGTCTTTCCCTATCTTTAACGTCGTTGTCTTAACATCCGTATCTCTGTGTGTTTCATACTGTACAGCAAAGGGAGGAGCGGATCTTGAGGAGGCGGGATCCGCCATCCATGCTTTAGTCTGGAAATAAATAATGCATTGTTTTTTAAATGCTATCTGTGGCTTTATGGTGTTGGTATTAATGCTTACTGGGTATGGCGGTAATGATAAGAAGAACCATATTTTATGAATAAATTGAGAATTATCAAGAATCACTGATAATAAAAATGTATCAAATTTATGTAAAATGTGTTTTTTAATGCATTTTTTTCATGAGTTTTCAATTGTAAATAAACTTGTTAGGTCAAAACAAGAAAATAAAATTTGTTTTACTAATACAAACCGATTCAATTTCACTTAAAGGATTCATGCAGATGACAGTGTCAGACTCGTGATCAACTAGCAGCCGCAGAAAGTCGACAGCGTCATCTGGTGGTTGATATTTCGTCACTATGAATGCGCCCTCTCTTGTGTACGACTGTGAAAAACGGAGGTTAATGTGATGAAATACTGTTATTCAGTACAGTTAAGATATGCTAAAAATTGAAAAAGACCTATACTTACTGAAATGTTGATTGCGTTGATGAAGCTGCCACGTTTTGGAATTGAAGAAGTTAAGAACAAACTGTACTTGTCAACTACAATGACATAGCAATGTACTTTGTATATATAGATATTTGATTCAGATATGTCTCTAAATATTTCTAATGCTCCTAACTTTTCTTTTTAATGGTATAATGTAAATGATATCATTTTGAATATTGAATCAAGACCTCATCATTAAGTCTTGTAAGTCGTAATTTATTGCAATTCCATTGATAAATATTTTACTTGTCTATCCAATCTTGAAATGTTAACTATTCCAAAATAAATAAATTTTAAACTTTAATAAGGTTTACTCGAAGTGTGTATTGAAAAATATTTATGATTACTTACGTGGTAATATTGCTTTTCCGCTTTTGTCTGTATTGTGTTGCTTGGCAATTTTATAATCAGCTTGAGTATAAACTGGTCGAACTTCCATCAACAACTAGAAAATAGATAATGATCAGGAATTAAATATAGCTATAGGTTATATTTAGAGTACGAGTTTCCTTCTGTATCAGAGATACAGGGCGGGGCATGAGGCGAGAGCGATAGCTCGAGTCGGGCCCCGCCCTGTATCTCTGATACAGTAGGAAACGAGTATTCTAAATGACTTGTGACATGACCTTTCTAATGACCTTACTAATCTACATGTGTATTTGGGTACATATCTTTCAACCAATCAGATGATTTTGCAGAAAGTTGATTAAGTATCCCATTTTAAGCATTCGCAACTGAAATGCCGAGAGAGGTGGATGTGCAGGTATTTATCATTTTGAAATAATTATTTATTGGGATGCATTATATAATTTTTTTTCCAAAAAAATTAACTTAAGATTTGATTGCGTAGGTTTTTATTCTGTATTCAGCTTTTGCTGACATTTTTTTTAAAATTTAAGCTACGATTTAATGCAAAACATTTTGATATATATAAGGATCATGTGGGAATGTTTTTGAAACAAAAATACTTAGGGGAAAACGTATTCTGAGAGAAATGTCTGACAATGTCCTCCACCTGTCGTAATATAAAAAAAATTAAACAAGCAGATAAGAGGAAATGGGGGGGGGGGGGGTATTTTACCTGCATGTTTTATATAAATTGTAGAGTGGATCACAGCACTCACTTGTGCCCCCCCACACTTAACCCTTCTGTGATTTTTTTTCTTTTTCGCTTTCATAAATGATTTTTGCTAAACTTGTATAGATCTACATACGCTTTTTAATTTATCAACAAGTAACGATATTACGCACATGGTGTCTTGGTTGGTTATAAATCCCCCCCCCCCCGAAATATTCGAGTTTACACTTATTTTTTTTTGGGGGGGGGGGGAGTCAAAGTAATCATTTGTGAACTGTCGTACTCCTTCCTTTCTAAAATTTTTGAATCTGACACTAAAAACTTAACGTTGTAAAATTTTATTCTGAATTCACCTCAAATTTTGAGTAAGTTATATTTAGAGTACGAGTTTCCTACTGTATCAGAGATACAGGGCGGGGCATGAGGCGAGAGCGATAGCTCGAGCCGGGCCCCACCCTGTATCTCTGATACAGTAGGAAACGAGTATTCTAAATGACTTGTGACATGACCTTTCTAATGACCTCACCAATTTACATTCATATTTGGGTACATATCTCAACCAATCAGATGATTTTAGCAGAAAGTTGATTTAGTTTCCCTCATGTTTTAAAATAAAATGTAGAGGAACTAAAGGGGGATCCAGTACTCACAGGTGCCCCTCCCCCCATCCCACCCAACTTAAAGTTTTTTTTTCTTTTTTCTTTTGTAAATTATTTTTGCCAATCGTAAATACATATTCTTTATAATTTATCAACAAGTAACGATTTCACGCACATATTGTCTTGGTTGCAATTGATTATAAACCTACCCCCCCTCGAAATATGATTATCAGGTTGTTTTTTTTTTGGGGGGGGTTCAAAGTAATCCTTTTTGAACTGCCCCACTCCCTCCTTTCTAATTTTTTTGAATCCGACACTCAGTTTATTTTGTAAAATTTATTTTAATAAAATCACTCCAAATTTTGAGTAATTAGTAACAATGCTATCATGCGAATTGAACGATTGTTGTGTCTGAATATGGATACAGCTTTCCGTCATCGCTCAAAATAAACCGTACTGTATCTTTGATATTTTGCAGATACAGTACAGTTTCTGTTCATTTGCATAAGAAACGCCCACAAAAAGTGTTCTGTATCGCAGTTACAGTATGCTTGACTTCAAAGAAAAACTCGCCGGGTCATGTCACAAGAAGATATATGTTACTCATGTAATAAAGTCATGAAAAGTTAACCAATGAGGGATTTATTCGGCTAAAATTTTCAACCGTTGAGAGACAAAAGAGATTGCCAAAAAAGCATTCAAAGAGGAACAAAAAATCTATCAATTAATAATTAATTGATTGTATGTTGTGATACATCCCTCTTGAGAATTTTTCACTGACATGAAAACGCCACCACTTGCCGGTGAAGAGCTGCATATTTTTTTGCTATGCTCAACACTTATGGCCATTGAGTAGGGAAGGATTTTTTTTTCGTGAAAGCACCTTCAGTTATAACGGACCTCGGTATATACGGTCTCATCCGAAGGACCGGTATCCATGTCCCACAGTCGGATTCGAACCCGTGACGTAAGGATTGACTCCTTACTTCACTACTGTAGACACTCTAACCACTGCATGACGAGGGCAACAACAAACAATGGAAATGGTTGAGTTATTAAGGATTTTACATGTACCTCGAACTCTTTTCTGATAGCGGCATGATTTGCTGTCGTGTCTCTTGTCAGTTGTTCTGCTTTCTGGGTAAATTCAGAAACAGTCTGTGCCTCTACGGGGGCTTTGAAAGCTTCGTTCAGAGACAGGAAAACTGTCATATATTGTTCCTATAAGTAATCAAATACACAACACATCATTTATATCCCTTTAAAGGCACTGTATTTAATTTTACGGTATAGTACACGGTTTATATTTTAATTAATAACCAAATAGCACAAAACAGAATGAAACCTAATACTTTTCTTTTTTTTTCTTGAACAGTAGAGAAGACAGTTCTACAAGGGTTTATTTGTGACAACAGCTATTTTTTTTTCTAGCTAAGTAGTTGCAATAGCTTACATAGGTTTGGACCATGTTCATTCTGTTAGCTCTCATGGTCTTTACATATTCTGCGATATTGACTTTGCCCGTTACTTTCCCAGTCTTGTATAAGGCATCCAGTGCTATATATGTCCCAGTTCTTCCTATCCCCGCGCTGTTAATTAGAAGATTTTATTATAGCGAGCGCAGCCAGCGTCGCGAAGCGACGCTCGCGAAGCGAGCTCAATAGACTAACGTGTAAGAACAGAGTAAATTCGGATTGAAATCTGTACATACGTCAGCCAAATTTCTCTGTGCAACATTCCCAGAATTCCTGCACTACCCAATGTCCTTTGCGCGAATAAATCAAAAATAGTAAAAAAAATAAAGGAACATTGTTTCTTACCGAAATCTTAACGAAATGATTTTGCCTTGCCTTATTCAAAAAAATACCCCCATGCCACAACACCGGCCTTCACCTTGCCCTTCGGAAATGATGCAAATGACGTCACCGGAAACTTACGAATTTTGACGATATGCTAATTAAGTCATGTCGGTTGCTTCCGTGAAATAGATAAATAAATAAACAATAACGTAAAGCATAAAAAGCTTTCAGTTTGTAGAAATCTTTCAAAGAAACAAAAAATAACTCTGCAATTTTTTTCGACCCAAATTGCACTACGTCTATAGTTTCAAACAGACGCTGGGCTGTCTCCGTAAGCTCCGACGAACTCCGTGACGTCGTGTGACGTCACAGGTAGTCGAGATGTCTCGTGCGGCTTGATGTTTGAAGTGGCTGATCAATTTTTTAGAGTGTTTTTGATGGTACAACTGCGCTCGCCCCAACGGTCACACCGTAAAACATATTATATATTTGATGACTCAATTAGTATGTAAATCAGAAAAAAAAGTCATTTAAAAGAATTCAAAAACACTTTGTTTACCTATATAAAAGAAAACATTGTTGAAAATCGTTCAACAATGTAAATATACCTGCAATGGACAACAGTTGATGAATTCTCGTGATTGGTCCGTGTTCTTGTCACGTGATTGTGAAAAATAAGCAGACAAAACGGATCGGGCGTGCCGTGATCGGGCCAGGTAGTGTAATGATACTGTATAACAACACGTGACTTTTTGAGCTAAAAATACGTTAGTATTAAATTTAAACAATAGAGAGGTTTCGAAACCTTGACGTGTACGTGAACTTGTACGTGTAACGGGAAATCCCCTGAATATAATGCGTATTACGTCATCAGAATCAGCGCATCACTACACGGTGGCGTCATCAGATACTTGTAAAATAGCTTTTACACGTAAGTAATAACTTGTGACTATTCTTTAATTTATAGAACAATTCTTGAATGAAATTCTTGTACGAATGTGATCTTTAGAATTTATAGCATACTCCTATTAAGATTTATCCTGGCATTTTACAAAAATATGCTTGATATGAGGAGGTAATAAAGCGTATGACAGATCTGCACTAGGCGACTCGTGTTGTTTGAATGTAATATTAAGATTTATTTTCTGTACTCTGTATCAATGAAAAATAGTTTTTAAAAAAATTGTCCTTTTCACGTAATTCAGTCGATGACACGAATTTTGGGAAGGACAACAGTAATTGTGTGTGTGTAGGGGGGGGGGGTACTGACTAGGAGACGACCATTTGATTTTAAAGGGGGGGGGCTAGCAAAAATTAGAGCATTTATTTTTAAATAAGTCAACAACAGGTCAATTACATCCAAGATGATAAAGGAAAAAAATGATTCCCTCATTAAAAATAATTTGACAAGCAATAAAAAAAACTCCATTTCGTGGGGTTCGGGGAGGTACTGGTGGTAACTAGCTGTCAAGGACAGATGATTTATTTCCTTGACGATCGCAGACAGATTATTTCCAAAATCTGCCATCTCTTCGACTCTTCGTTGAACAGTTCCAACCTTTCATCCCCTGCCATGAATTTTTTCTATTCGCCGTAGGGCAAGAGAAAAAAAAAGACGTTTAGGAAGCAAAATTATAGGCAACTCCTCTCAAAAGCAAATTGTTGTCCCCTTACATGCACCCAGATATTATAAAATAAAATAGGGCCATGCGTGATGAGGCGTACTTGTGTTTGTGTTTCTTTTTTTTTTTGGGGGGGGGGGGGGGGGGGGGGAGTTTATCTTATTTATTAAAACTATTTTACATTTTTTGTGCTTGTTCAATTGTTAATTACATGTATGAATTTATTTATTTCAGGATCAACATGGCATTGTCCCGCAAAAAGCAGGTCCGCTTTAATCAAACGGATGATTTAAATTTATTACGTGAAGTGATGGCGAAGAATCCCTTTGCTAATAAAGGAAAATGGGTCGAAGTCAGTGCAAGTTTGTCAACGGACACGTTTAAAATAGACAGCAGAAGAGCACGGGAGAGGACTCTTCTATTATTAACTCAATATCGACAAGATCAAAATGACAAATTAAAAAAGTAAGCTACCTGTAAACCAATTCAAAAAAGTTTTTTTTTAAAGTTCGAATTGATTAAGTTTAATATCCAGATTCTTTATTTCTCGTTTAAACACTTCTATAAATTGTCACGATTTCTTACATATGGTTCACTATTTCTCGTGTTCATTTAGGTCAGGAATAGATGAAGAGTACAGTGAAAAAGAGCTTTTGCTTGAGGATATACGCACATTGCACGAGGAAGAGGAGATCCGAAAGGAAACGGGCAAAAAGAAATCCCTTGAAAACGCTAAAGCTGTTAACTTGAGAGAGAGCTATGGAGAGCCTGTCACCAGAAAAAGGTAAATTGAATTCATATACATGCGTATAGAACTTAATTAAATTTTGATATTTTGGTTAAAAACTTATATACATGTAGATATCTGACATTTTAAAGATGATGATGACGAGAGTCCCCGGTCTTCTTCATGTAAAAAAGCGGCCAGAGGAAGTAGCAGCGATGTTCTCTCCTATCTCCAATCAAGATCTGAAAGTGACGGCCAAGTAAAGCGCGACGAAATGGACATAAGGAGGGAGGAACTTAGGCTAGACAGAGAACGTTTTGAATTGGAGAAGGAGGAAAGAAAACAAAGAATGGAAATGGACAAACAACACAATACAATGATGTTAAATTTATTTAAGATGTTATCAGATAGAAAGTAGAAAATTCTTGTGTTGATAGAAACTGTCAGAGTAGATATGTTGATTTATGACAATAATTTTGTTTCTTTTTAATCTATTAGAAGTAAAAAATATAAATTTCATCTGTCAATATTTTTCACAGTTATCCACGAATGATTAGTCACTTGGAATTTTCGCACGACATGTTTATATTACCGCTATCCTGCCAAGTATTCCTGGAGAGTTGGTGGCTCTAAACCAAAGTACATACCCGTCTCGTTTCCGTATAAGCATGTGTGACAATTAGTGAGAATGGACGCCACTAAAAAGTACTTTCCAACTGGCTGCAAGTATAACTTCTGGTTTTTCTTATAATCAAGAAAGGAAAACAAGCTAAGAATTTTCCCGCATGCCCATTCAACGCACGTACGAGCCGCTGACATTTTTTTGTTGAATAAGGCTTGTTGTGCGGATATCACACGTCCATGGTATGGTGTTATGATGAAAGTAGACAGTGGATACGCTGGGTCCCCAAATAGCACATATGCATCACCAGCTGGAGTTGTCATATGCCTCTCTAACTGGTCATACAAGCAACTTTCTCTTAGTAATCCGGCATCATGTCTCCTCCCTTCAATAGGTCCAAACATGTTCGCTATTATACCGTTTGGCAAAACTATGCTTTGGTATTTCAGTGCGTGGACTCTTTTATGTCCATTAAACACTATCCTCTGATTTCTAGATGGTCGGCAAATAGGTCGTACAGTTCCATCAATAAATCCCCAACAATTAGGCAAAGGGGCACCCGTCATTTGAACAGCATGAGATAATTCATCCAAACTCTGATTTGACAGCCATGAGCGGTTAAGGTCAGCTAAGAGATGAGAATGATTGGAGAAAATTATTTCTAACATGTTGTTAATGATAAAGGACAGAGCTGAATCTGGTCTTCCAAATATTTTGCCGATGTCGGAAAGTCTATTAGGATAAGCAAGTCTTCTCAGCAAAATACACAGCCCTTCGAGTCCAGAACAAATAATCCCGTCAGGACAAATAACTTTATCAGGAATTCGTAATGCTTGGAATACAATGTGTATATCGGCTTTTTCAAACCTGAAAAGTAATTTGCACTCCTCTTCTGTTAACCTTTCAAGATCAAAATTCTTTTCAAACGTTCTTCTGTCTGAATCGATAATAGAAAGAAGGAGAATTTCTTCTTCCATCACTCTATCAGTTGCAGCCAGCAGGTGTAAATCTTCCATTTTGCAAACGATAACTTTGATTTGATAAAATTTAACCTATGACATCTTTTGTTACGTCACACGTACGCGTACATGTTTGAGAAAATATTACATAAAAAGTCAAGGTTACGTGTACTTGTACGTGTAAGTTACACGTACAAGTACACGTACACGGTATCTTTCGAAACCTCTCTAATATGTATTTTTATGTTTTTTTTTACACAATAAGTTCAATTAATGTCGGCAGCACATATGAAAAAAAAGACTGCATATTTTTTAAATTATTAAACATTCATCAGAGTATGTCTATAATAATTAAACTACTCACTGCATCAAAAGAAAAAAAGATCTTCTTTAATAATTCTAATTCATTCAATTTACCTCCTTGTGTGTAACTGACAACTTCCTGATGATGTAGAATGCGTATTCTTTAACTTCAGTGGATTTCACAATAATGTTTCCAAAAGCTATTGCTTTCATTTCTTCAGGCCAATACTGTGTACATTTTATCTGGCGAAATCATACATATATTAATATAAACCTTTAATAAAGATATAAAATTGAAAAATTTCTGAATGAATATTGTACAAATCATAATTTTTTCAACCTTGAGTGCTTATCGAAATCTAAATTTCACCAGTATGTAGTGCTGTCTTCAACCCCGAACATTTTTCTTCAGTTGGACATAAATAAAACAGTCAAATTTTAAATCTACATAAAAACGTTCATATCTAAATTCACTCGAGTTTGAGACGTGGCGGGGTAAAGGAAATCGACAATTTATCAAGTTTGAAATTTCTCTCTTTTCCTTTCTCGAATATTGTTCTTTTCCTCATCTATTTCTCTATTTTCTTTTAAAGATAAAAAATATAACTAAAACTCGTCATTTTCTTTTAACTGCAGAAAAGGCCTTTGATAAAATCGCAGATATTTTGAATTCCAAATTATATAAATTTAACAAATTATATATTTATATACGGATAAATCCATTTGCAGATACAGGGAAGTAATTTTATAGTTCCCAGTGACGTTTCTTGTAAAAGAGTTATACCACACCTTAGCTCTCTCTTTTAGGTTTGTAAGCATCACAATCTGTGTCACATTTTTTTGCCACGTCATCGCCCAAAATTCGCTCAGTGTGTTTTGTTTTGGACCTATGATTTAATAAAAAAAAAAATTTATATCATTTTTTCATAAGTTAAGCAAACTGTACTGAATTTTTCGCAAAGCTTTTGCATTTGGTATTACAGATGTGTACCATCTTCATTTACATAAAGATAAAGAAGTTAATTATGAATTAAGTCATTTCACCGAATTGAATTCTGTAACATGTTATGCAGATAATGATAAAAACGAAAGGTGTATCTTTTACGTTTCAGCCACGAATTTCTTTAAAATAAGAATGCTTTCAAATACTCGTATTCTTTTAAATACATTATTTAAGAAATATTAAAGAAAATAACAATGTTTCACGTTTAATTAATCTACTTGCAATTGATAGAAATATAATCATTTTCACCTTGTGAAGCTATGTATTCCCCCTCTGAATCCGTTCCCTTAAATGAAATAGACACACATTTATCGAATGGATATTTTTTGTAATTAACAACAATTTAGCATTTCTGCAAAAGCAACTTTTATTAGGACAATAGTATCACAATTAAAAACTAAAAGGGGGACTTTACGAAATGGACTTTATGGACTTTGAGGTCTTAGATACTGGTTATCATTGTTCATTTTGACGTATATTTCAATCAACTTTTATTTAAATGTAGAAAATTTTGTTTAACTTACCTTTATAAAATTGGCATTAATATAGTCTGAGTTTCCATTGGTGACTTTTAAAATAACTCTTGAATGGTCGTCTAAAATCATATGCAACGTTGAATTATTGTAATTTAGTATAAAGTGAAAGAAAAAATCAATGAGAAAATATGTATTATTGAATTATCAGAAAAGATTACTTCAAATCCTCATCTTACAAGGGAACGTTGTTTTGTATCTGTTTTTTGTTACGTTCTCTGGCAATTTTCCAGCATCACACTTATGTTGTTCTCCATGTGGCAACATCTGAATAGAACAAAATATGGTAATTTTTTTATAATTATAATTTAATTTCTAATGGACAAGATAAGCTAAGACCCCTTTTGGACCCTGATTTTGGGCGTCCTTTAGAATGATGCAGCATTTTATCAATTAAAACCTCTGGTCACCCCTGCCAAGAAATGATCATTATTTCAAAGTTTTGGAATACACAGAGGGCGCAAATAGCTCAGAATATGTCAATTTTTGAATTTTCTAACTTTTTATGCAAATTTTATCTGATTTTACTGCACATTTTGTTTTGGAAAACAGAGCACATGCGTGCCTATCTACCAAAATTGATATTATCTATACACCGGTATCAACTGTAGTTTATGTATTAAAATCTTAAATAGGCAAGCTTGTACTCTATGTTTTCTGAAGAAAAAGTATCTTTAATATGATGAAATTCTTCAAATATTTTAAAAATTCCACAAAATGTCCTACTTCTGCATCCTCGTCTGGCCTCCATGAACGTTTTAATAAAAAAAAATAGTGCTGGTTTTATAGCAAATATCATTTCACTTCCTTAAGAACAAACTATTACAATTTTACCAAAGTTCTGGTTTTCACATCAAATTACGTGCCATATTCAGACATTACGTACCCTGCCTTGTCCTTTGGTATACTTTATGCAAGGTCATAATTTGTTCTCATCTTTTCATGGCATTCCTCAAGTTATACTGAACTTAGTTTACATTTATATAAACATATAGAATATTTAGATAAAAGTGAAAGAAACTTAAATCTTCTAATTTGATGTTCTTCATTTTGATAGCATATTCTTATTTATTTCTTTCTCCAAGTACGATTAAGCTTTCTATGTCGAACCGTTAAGGTTTTGAAAACTTACGGCAAATTCTCGTTTAAATCCCTCCTCTTCGTCCTTTCTTTTCTCCGCAATGACGTTTTCGAGTTGATTTACCGGAATATCCTGTACGGTTTCCTCATTTATAAACAAATCACCATAGGGATTCTCGATGCCTTCGTCATCAGTGTCGTAATTTCTATTGTCATATTTCCTTTCATTTGTGGTTTTTAATGTTGGCTTCTGCTTTTCTGGCTTAAGAACAGGATTTATTTTCATCTCCATATTATCGTTTATGTGGCTGTTCACTGAATTAAAATATATGCTGTTTTCATATACATTTTATTTATTTATTGAATTATAAGCAGAGAAAAGAATATCAATTGTGATTTGAATCCACTTTAAATAAAGTCATCACATAAATAAGACTATCGGAACTACGATTTACATGTACTCATATAAACACAGACACACATATTCAATTAAAACATATGTAATGAAACATTTTTTCCAAGTTTTTGACGTCACAATGTGAAAATGACTTCAACATGGAGATCACTTGTGACCAAAAATGATTGACTCAGTATTATTCGAGAAAGTAACAGCTATAAAGCTAAACGTACAACTTTCAAATTTCTTTGCAGAAGATTATAATAATCTGTACACGGTTTATGAAAACAAAAGACTTGCCAGAAGTTTTGTAAGTAATGGTTATAAGCCGAAAACTGTCCATTATGTCAGATATTAGACGACCCGAGGCGCGTTAGCGCCGAGGAAAGTCTAATATCTGACATAATGGTCAGTTTGAGGCTTATAACTTACTTCAAACATTTTACCACTTTCGAACACTTCCATTGTTAACTTATTGGACAGCCACAGGTAAGGTCTTGTTCTGCTTGGATGACTACCTGGCACTGTTCATCAAGTTAGGCCAAAGAAAACCAGTTTTGGTTTTTCTTCTGTCTTTATTGATAGTACTTAGGTATCATCGAGAAGTGTTTTATATCGATAAATATGAATATTAACTTTGTTTAATCTTATTTATCCGCAATGCGACATTTTTTATATATACTACGCATGCGTAAAAGTCAGTTCTACTAAATTCTTTTCAATTTATTCATTTTACAACGCAACGACTACGGATAAAGACGTACATTTTAATTTTGAAAAAAAGACCTTCAGAATCGGGTTTTTTGACGATGCAATTTATCGATTACACCAAGATGCATCAGTTCAAGTTTTCTACTGTGAAATCTGGATATATATATTCTTATGTTTCGGAATTTGCGAGAAACAGTTTCCCATTAACAGGTATTTTTTGTAAAGCAACTGTTTCAGCATTTTCTATGAAATTTGGAGATTATTTCTGATATATTTCTTAAAAGTGCATAACTTTCTTTTTTGTGTGCAGGTTTCGAACTCGGAAGGATTCTACTCCAGCCATTCCTTTAAACAAAGGCAGGCACTCGCTCAAACGACGCAGAACTAGGTGGACAAATGGTCATAAATCACCAAACGAAATTAAAGATTCCTTTGGAATTTCGTGAGCTAAAGTTTGTGCTAAATGTGGAAAAAGCGGATATTTCAATAAACAGAGGTTGTATGTAAGAAAACACATGCTTCTCATTCATCTTTTGTGTCCATTGGATTCTATTTATGTTCTATGGATCATTCATTGTGAAATGAATCTATTATTTAGCATTGAACGGTGAATTTAGGAAATTTATGATCGGAGCCACGGATGCGTCTACAATAATGAATCTGAGACATTCAATTCACTGGGTTATTTGTGCCATTTTCAGTAGGAATTTTTTGTGATATATTAAATTCAACGCTATTAATTTCCTACATTGTTCATATTAAATTGTTTGTTTTGTCATTGTCTTTTAAATGTTGTTTACTTATTTACCTCGCCATTTTTTTCTCATTTAATCGTTACCTGTACCTGTATAAGTTGAATCTTATTTGACACCAACGGGTAACTTATTGGACGGGGTGCAGGACAATAACAAATTTATTGAACCAGGTTTAACAAAGGATGACGTCTCAAAAATGTTTTAATTTATTGTATTGATTGCTTTAGCAAAGGAAGGAAGATGTAAAAAATTATTTATGTTTTTTTGAAAAATGAAAGAAAGTTTGGGAAGTGAAGTGTACTTGTTTAGGATTTGATATGAATGATCGCAAACTTACAGTTAGAAAAATAGTTGAATATCTTTATAATTAAAAGAATAATAATAGAGTACACCCAAAATTTTTCCATATTGAATAAATGATTCTCCGAAGGCAGCGGACTTGGATTTTGATGGTCATCATGCTCTTTCTGGAAATGGATATCAATATCCACGAATACTATGACCGATATTCGACCCTTTCTGACAAAGGAACTGCTTTTTTGTAAATGTAATTCGCATGATTAGAAATATAAGAATAGGTAAAATATTTAAGCTTTTGTAACGGAACGACAAGGAGCACGTCACATGAACGCCTATATCACGTGATCTGCGCATTGGCAGAACGATTGCAGATACGCATGAAGAGGATTTCGTTGAAAAGATTTCAACACTGAAGCCCTACATTATTTCTTTTATCGAAGTTATTCAATTAGTTCGCATACTTTTTTTATCATCTCTCGAATAGATGGGGGTTTTTTTTTGTTTCAAAAATATGGTGAAATTTAACAAACTTACTAGCCTTTAAATAATGCTTAAAATGTCAATTTCACCAAAGGTCATCTATCTCTCACTGATTTTAAACAGTTTTTGCCAATTGTAAATCTTTTTGTTTGTTTGTTTTAAACTCCACTTTAGCTTGAAATATACATGAATGACCTTACAGTTAAAATTTTCTCTGTCTCGTTGTTGTTGACTCCTTGTGTGGCGGTGTTGTTGGTGTTCTTGTTTATACCTTTTGAGTCTGAGTTATGAAATATGAATAAAATGTAATAAATTGCAAAACTATTTTGATCGGCGCAATTATAAAAAGTAGTTTGTAAACTCTTCATATTAATAATCAGTTGAAGAACTATTTTTATCAGCTCAAGCGTGAAACTTAATTCGTAAACCCTCTTTTTTGCTTATTAATGACAGAATTAATTTTTCAGCGTAAGGATTGTCATTACCTTCTGAAAACAATAACAATAACGACAGCAGCCAGACACACAATAATTACAGCCACGACCCCTCCAATAATTGGGGCGGCGTCGATGTCTGGTAGATCAGGGCCAATCATCTGCAAAGTGAGGGTTTATTTAATACAGTAAGATACACTAGGAAGGAAGAAGGTTGTAACAAACTCAATTTATAATTTTGATTTAATGTGGTGCCAACTTGAATGATGAATAACTAATGACTATACACATAATTCTAATCAACAACAATGTATCTAATGTTTTCCGAGATTTTTTGGGGGGGTTGTTTTTCTTTTTGAAATTTATATTATTCAATACATTTTTAATCATGGAATTAAAATTGATGACGTTTATTAATCTCGATTTTAAGATGTAATAATGAAACATGCAAAGATAACCTGATATTTTTTGTGATATATTAAAGTTGAACAAAACATGATAATTATAATTTTTAAAAGCAAACCTGAGAGAAAAAGATAGAGTGTGAGCGGATTTTATATTCTTTGGTCCAACTTATTTTGTAGATACTTGTTATAAGAACGTATCTCTTAGTCACTTAACATAGGTGTCGGAACCGGGGGGGGGGGGGCTAGGGGGGGGGTTTAGCCCCCGCACTTCTTTTTCCAAATATATACTTAGTATAGACATTGAGCATATCTTCGTAAGTTCAGCCCCCCACTTTCCACAGATTCGTCTTAGTATAGGTTAAAATTGAGGAAAGTGGTGGTGTTTGGAAGAAAAATTGTGGTACTGGAGTTCGAACCTGACCCCCCTACCCCCCACGAAATAAGAATTTCGTGTTTGGGAAATAGACATTTCCCTTTTTTTTTTTTTTTTTTTTTTTTTGCTTGTCAGGTTTTTTTGGAGGTACAAAAATTTTTTTTAACACTTAGCCCCCCACTTTCAATTTGCTTCCGACGCCAAATGCCTAACATTCTATTTTGTATTTAATTGTTCTTGGAAGCCTCTAATTCAGACTTATGTAACTGCAGTAAATCAAATTCAGTACAATTTTTCACTTTTACAGGATTTTGAATGACATATTTTTTAAAAAGAGAAACTTGATTCATTAATTTTTGACCAAGAACATACTCTGTTTTTAAATATTAATTGAAGTGGTAGTAAGGTATCTTTGTTGAGAATTCCAGATTTAGGAACTTTTCAAAGGAATGCATATTCGTACAGTAAACTGCCATTATCTGTTGGGTTTTTGTTAATCTACATTTAAAGCAATATGAGCTGCATGTTTGACATCAGGTTTTTTTTTTTTATTTTGGTAAATTTGTAACTAACCATTTCAACCACAGAAGAAAAAAAACGTTCATAAAATTCTGTTGTTCGTATTTGCGATATAATTTTTTTTATTAGCTTTGATTGAAGCAAAATTAAATTATTGTAGCTCTGTACAATAATGATTTCTTATATGACACTGTATATTCGGTTGTACAGAAATATTTCTTCTGAAACATTTTAAAATTTTATTTTGGCTTATTGGTCGTAAGGGTTTAAATGAAATACAAATCAATCAAAATAGCATATTTAACCAGGAAAAAAATTCTCAAAAATACAGCTCATATTGCTTTAAAAAACAAAAAAAAGATACTAAGATATTGCTTACTGTAGGTGTTTTTAATCAACATTTTGACCGCCGGATTATAAAAATATTAATCACTCAATTTAATCAACATTTTGTATTTTGAACAAATATGTTCATAAAGAATTTCAACACCGACGTTCTCATACATCAAGATCACCTTGCATCCGAAAACATTAAGGACAGATGATACAAACAAAAAATGGATGCCTGGATAGATATATATTTTTGGGCCTAATTTGATTGCAAATGAAACAAATAACAAATTTCTAGAATATAGTGAAATTGTAAACCTTTTCTGATGTCTATAAATTTGCCCTTCTAAACCCATCTTTATTAATCTATACAAATATTTTTCGCTTCAAATCCCATTTTGGTAAATTTTGAATTAAAAATAAAAACTTCGCGTTAAAACATATTTACTTTAATCATTAAAACGTGACAAAAGTTGTTATTTTTAAATTCTTTACCATAAGTTTGTATCATCTGTTCTTAAGTCAAGCTAGTAGGTAATATACTTACATGTAAATCAGTTTGCTCAATAACAATTTACACAAAAATCTGGTTAAACATTTAATATACAATTAATTAGTTCAAACGTTTAATGGGATCAAACCTACCTGTGGACATGCACCTGATATAGCGTCACAGGTTCTGTTGGAACAAGTTGTCTTGCAAGTTTCATTACAACCGTAACCATAGAATCCCCAAGCGCACCCTGAATGACCAAACAACATTTTATGTTTTACTTATTCTAATAACTTGAAAGATTTGTTTTTAAACCGTGAAATACATTTTCTCCCTCATACGGATTTGCCATTATTCATAACTTTGAAGATTAAATAATTTAGCTTTAAAACCTGGTTTTATTTAGATGAATAAGCATAGCGTTAAAGCCATAAAAATTTATTTATTTCTACTTACAGTTGTACATGATTTTTGGCTTAAATTTCAGACATTTGGAGATTTTTGTTTTAACAAATCAATACCGTGAATATATTTTTATGCTAAATTACATTCAAACTTAATATATTTTTAAAGATATTGCAATAAGCGTATTTCAAACAAATGAAATTAAAAACAAATACCTATTTGGCGGTGCAGCATATATTTCCCAAAGTTCTGAAGACTACATTTTGTTTTTAATGCCATGCTTTATTTAAAAGGAAGAATATGCCCTGTTGTAGAAAAATAAGTCACCTTCAGTACAGTTGATTCCTCGGTAACCTCTATCACAGCCATTCAAGCATGTCCCGTTAATGTGATGACATTGTTCTTTATCAAAACAAACCCCGCATGACTGAGCACAGTTTTGTCCGAATTTACCCTCATTGCATTCTATAGAAAAAAACACATCCTAGAAATTTGCTTTTTGTTATCAAAATTCAGATTTTAGATATGGTCATTAATCATGGTTTCGTTTCTTTTTACTTTTTACTTTTTAGCCAGAAATTCTTAAGAATCATAATTCTAAGAATCGTTAGAATATAAATTTAAAATATATTTACTTACTCTTGTCACATTTTTTGCCTTTCCATCCCGCCTGACACCCCCCTTGACATTCCCCTGCCACTCTGTCACATCTACCAGGGACTCCACAGTTTACATTACATGTTTCATTGCAGTTGTAGCTATGATGTCCTTCAATACATTCTTAAAAGATATGAAAAAGTTAATGTACATGTAGTTACTATTACCTGTTATTAATTTTTTGTTCGTGTTCTGTACATGGTACCGAGAACATTTTAAAGGGATCTTAATCATTCATATGAAAAGAGGTATGCCATAATAACATAAAACAATCATCAATTTTAAGAAAATGTATTAAAAAAATGTGATATGATGATGGTGTAACAAATTCCAGTTGGCTGGAATTTTTTTTTTTACATTTTTATAGTTCAAACATTGCTAACAATTTAAAAGATGATATATATATTTATTGGATTGTTGTATATGGAAGATTTTTGTATAAAAATGACAACGTTCCCACCTGCAGTACATTTCTCTACTTGGAATCCTCTATCGCAACCTTTTAATCATTTATCGTTAATGTCGTGACATTGTTCAAAATTCAAATATGTGTCACTTGGGGTACATATACTACAATTGTCACCGTACATTTTTAAAGTCAGTACTACTAATCTTTATTTGTATAGACAGAGCTTCATTTTACTTTTTGCTGCTTTATTTAGCGTTTGTGTTATCTCAAGAGTGGTTCAAAGTAAGCACAATTTGTTGACACGTAACTTTAATTTGGCAACTATGGGGTGGACTTCCTACTTTGAACAGACTAACATAAATATGATGACAGTACAGCAATGTATACAAAAACTACTCACATCATACTGCAGTAATTTTGAAGAAACTTTGTTACAGAAAAACATTTTTTTTTGTAACCTTGGTTTATTTAAAAGGACGAAAATGCACTGTTGTAGAAAAAGATGTCACCTTTAGTACAGTTTATTTCTCGATATCCTTTGTCACATCCATTCAAGCATGCCCCGTTAATGTGATGACATTGTTCTTTATCAAGACAAACCCCGCATGACTGAGCACAGTTTTGTCCGAATTTACCCTCATTGCATTCTATAGAAAAAAAAAACATCCTAGAAATTTGCTTTATGTTATCAAAATTCAGATTTTAGATATGGTAAATAATCATGGGTTCGTTTCTTTTTACTTTTTAGCAAGAAATTCTTAAGAATCATAATTCTAAGAACAATTAAAATATAGAATCTGATTTAAAATATATTTACTTACTCTTGTTACATTTTTTGCCTTTCCACCCCGCCTGGCACCCCCCTTGACATTTCCCTGTAACTCTGTCACATCTACCAGGGACTCCACAGTTCACATTACATGTTTCATTGCAGTTGTAGCTATAACGTCCTTCAATACATTCTTAAAAGATATGAAAAAAGGTTATGTAGTTACTATTACTTGTTATTATTTTTTCGTTCGTGCTCTGTATAGGTTACCGAGAACATTGTAGATGGATCTTAATCATTAATATGAAAAAGGGTATGCTAGAATAATATAAACAAACATAAATTTTTAGAAAATGTATCAAAAAAAAAATATGTAATAAGATACTGTTCAAAATTCCAGTTGGCTGGAATAATTTTTACAAGTTTAAACATTGCTTAAAATTTAAAACATTTTATGTATATTTATTGGATATTTATTGGAATTTTTTTAAAAGGGAAGATTTTTGTATAAAAATGATAACGTTCCCACCTGCAGTACATTTCTCTACTTGGAATCCTCTATCGCAACCTTTTAAACATTTAACGTTAATGTGGTTACATTGTTCAAAATTCAAATATGTGTCACTTGGGGTACATATACTACAATTGTCACCGTACATTTTCAAAGTCAGTACTACTGATCTTTATGTGTATAGACAAACTTTCATTATACATTTTGCTGCTTTATTTACCGTTTGTGTTATCTCAAGAGTGGTTTAAAGTAAGAACTTTATGTTTAAATGTAACCAATTTGGCGACTAGAGTGGAATTCCTGCTTTGAACAGACTGACATAAATATGATGACAGTGCAGCAATGTATACAAAAACTATTCTCTTAAATGACATCATACTGCAGTAACTATGAAGAAACTTTGTTACAGAAAAACGTATTTTTTTGTAACCTTGGTTTATTTAAAAGGACTTTGTTACAGAAAAAAAAAATTGTAACCCTGTTTTATTGAAAAGGACGAAAATGCACTGATGTTGAAAAATATGTCACCTTCAGTACAGTTGATTCCTCGATATCCTCTGTCACATCCATTCAAACATGAACCGTTAATGTGATGACATTGTTCTTTATCAAGACAAACCCCGCATGACTGAGTACAGTTTAGTCCGAATTTACCTCCAACACATGCTATACAAGAAATATATCATTAGCTATTTCTTTTTAATTGTCTTTCTTGTTGACTTTTCTTTAACAATAAACACTGTAGAGCACAAATAAAAGTATTTGTTTAATAAAATATATATCTTTACTCTTAATAGACATATGGCTTTTTTTTACATATGATCTAAAATTACATGGATTGTATGTATGTTTTATAACAAATGTAATGATATAGAAATTTGACCATCTTCGGTAAATATTCACTGTGTAACGACTTCAAAGAGTATCATAAGATCATTTATAGTAAATAATTATAGGAGGGTTATCTTAAAGTTGGAAAACTTTTTGAATAACTTTCATAATATTTTTCAAAGTCAGAATCTGTGTTTATTCCTTTTCAAAGTAGGCCCCTGTTACGCACTTTTCCCATCAGTATGCTCTCATCAAATCCGATTTGATAACCCATACCCAACAGTCTCCAGTAACCAAATTTTAGGTGATACATGTACCAGGTGATTAAGAATAATCCTGTTAATGTCACAGAAAACAATGAGCATAACCTTATCTGCTGTTTGCGTTACAAGTGCATTTAATGGTGATGGAGAAGAAGGATGCTTCCAAATTGAACTTTCTGGTTCGTAGAAATGTACCCATGTTTCACATATACATGTAATGATTCTATTCATGATGAAAAGTCCTTCTTTTGCATATCTAAATGCGTGAGACGTGCACATATTTACTTTCATCCTCATTTGTTCTGACACAATGAGGCGAGGAGCCCACTTTGTTCAAACTCGCAGCATTTTAAGCGTACATGTTCTCGTTAAAATCTTCCATAAGACATGCTAATCTCATATACATTTGTTTCGGTACCAACGGTAAGACCCAACATCATCTTTTTCCAATTATTTATTGTACTTTTTGCAATATACTCATAACCTTTATGTAAATTTTTGTGTATTTCCCTGAAGTATTTAGATAGTTTTACATGAAAAATATAAAGATAACTATCAATATTCAAGATAAAAAATCCATAAGCAATGCAAAAAAGAGCACAGAAAACAAGAACCTCCAAAAATCAGAGATGGGATCAGTTTCCATGGAGGAGTGAGCTTCTCCTGCAGACCGGCCAAACCCGCCGCATGCTCTTAGTTATGATCGGAATAACGGAAAATCCGTCCTCAATTCAGTGTAAAAATTATGGACTTAATTTGTTTGACAAATATGCGTCAGCATATGACTCAATGATTTTTTTTGGCTGACAATGTCATTGTAAAATAGAACTTACGAAATGATGACATTACACGAGAATGCTGATATGCGTGCTTTATTAACTTGTTTGTTAATAATTTACCTGGTTTTAGAATTTGTTCATATATATATATATATATATTAAAAAAGTGTATATATACCATTTTCACACCGTGAACCTTTATATCCAATTACACATCCAAAGCAAGAACCATCTTCAATGTTGCAATGTCCCTCCTGACAATTCTGTGGACACGGTGAGTCACAGTTTTCCCCGTAAACACCTGAGATATTGCAACCTGCATAAATATTAATTAATGAATGAATATTTGAATTAATATGCAAGTTTACTTAATTCAGAGTTTGATATTTCAATTAAGGATCAACAGAATATAAATAGCAATAAACATATAATATAAAATTCTTAAAAATCAAGTCTTATTTCACGCATATTATTCCAAAACTTGATGTACAATTAGTTCTAAAATATTTTTTTAATCAATTTAGAAATTATAATAGAGATATTTTGTTATCTACCTTGTACCAACAGATCATATATCTTAAATCTGAGTTGGGGGAAATCTAGCAATCTTATTTTTTAATATGACCTGGTATAGTTATGCATATGCATTGTATGTTATAAAAAAACATGGGAAAAATCCCTACGTTTTTATAGATAAATCTTTGCCATAAACAGAGCGTGCTCAACTTCTTCGGACTGACATAAGGATTCGAGCATCAGTGAATGAATTTTAAACAAGTGCTTTATATTTAAGGCATTGGTTTTCCTGAACAAATTATACTGTTGTATTCTAGAAATAATTCAATAATAAACAAACAATTAATGTATGCGGTTTAAGAATATCATCTTCATATTGACAAAGTTCAATCGTCTTATTTATTATGTAAGAATTTCTGTTACTTTTTGATATTACATTTTATTTATAAAAAAATCACTTCTGTTTTAAGTTTTATTCAGCTTATTAACAAATGGATATTAAACTGCTGGTGTCTTATTTTGTTTACATAAGCAACTTAATTATTTAATTTTTTTTCAAGTATACTTCCAGATAGTACGTCAATTTAATATATTATACTAAAAACATTAGCATGAATTGTTTTCAAATGAATTCTTACCATAAACTTCAAGTTCACAAAGTTCGTTGAAAGCGTACTTAGAATATTCCACAGGGTAAGTACTTCCTTGGATTCTCTCGTTGTAATAGATGACGTATCGTCCGTGCTTTAAACATTCTATTGTGGTTGTATTCGGTATCGTGCCATTGGTGTACTTAGTATCTTTAAAACATAGAGTCCAATCATCTTTGTTAATTGTGTTGGATATATAGATCGAGAATCCGAGAAATCTGGCTGTGTAACCATTGAGGCCGTCTGGAGAAAACAAAAAAATGTGTGAATTGGTCTGAAGCATTACGATATTTTTTAAAGTTATTCATATTCAAACATTTAAGTTTGTACTTAAAAACGTGGTCAACTTGCCTGGAATGATCATTAAAAATTAATAATAACTGTGCTTGGGAAACTGTCAAAAATGAAGCAAATGCCTTGAAATTTCACAAGAAAAGACGACAAAATATATAGTGGATTATATTATTATATGAAAATCTTTACGTCAATCAATTTGCATTTGTTACTTTTAATTTGAAATTATACCCGTGTATTGTCTGATGAAATGTCTTTTTTATCGTGTGCCGTAGAATCGTATCCTTTGGTTATTCAAACATAATAAATTATTTAGTTTTGTCTATATTTTATCAAATAGAATGAACTGAACTATGATAAATAAACAGTTGCAGTAAATATAATTAGCTTAGTGCGCTCACTCTTTTCCGAGGAAAAAAACGCTTTGTCAACGATTTTACCGGACAATCCTGTTACAACGTTAACATTTACCCCAACACAAAAACAACTAAACATTTTGCTTTTAATTTATAAAAAAGAAAAGGGAAAATAATTCAGAATCGCATTTATAGCTAATATACAACATTTCTATTCTAAATGTCGCATATTTACTTCAAATTGCTTAACGTGATTCGAATCTGTCGTGAAAGTAATTGGAATTTTAAAAGATGGTTACCTCCGGACAAAGGACATGTATTTGGTTTAAGAATCATAAAAAAATTATATGCATTAATGCGCTCCTTTTCATGGCAACAACTTCTGAATACGCCTTTGATTAAAAATGTAATATCTGTGAAACAATTCCCTCCGCCAATAAAAAGAAGTATCAAAAAACTTACAAAATATAATCAGAATTTTATATATTTTCATGTATAAGATATGGTAACAGCTTAAGATTATGTTGTTAGTATTTACTCATAGATATTGCATTCCAACAACATTCTGTGACCGCCTGAATTTCCTCTGTCTTCTTAAAAATTAACTATTTTTTTCTTAACCTTGAGAGCAAAAAAAGGTTTAAATAATCACTCTAAGAGTAATTGGATATTTATTTTCTTAATTTTATTTTAAATAAAAGATATATACCTACATGTAAGTAACAGAGGGCAGAAATCGGTATGGTCATGAGTCAAATAAAAAGATATGCTAATCCGAATTTCCTCTGGCCTATTTTCAATAATAACTCTGTATTACATATTTTGGCAATTAAAGCTATTAAATCGATCAAAAGTAACCTATTATCAATTTATTTAATAAAAATATTAAAAACAAACATTATATAATACTTTTGAAGGAAAATTAATGTAAAAAATTTACCATTCCGAATTTCGTATGATTTTTTTAACCTTAAGATTTTGAATTGATTCTTG